GGCCCGCTGTCCCTGCACTCCCGCGGGGCGAGCGCGCGGGGCGGGAGGTGGCCTTTGGGAGCCCAGAGGCCAGGACCCCTCCAGCGCCCGGGTAGTCTGCGGAGCGCGGAGACACGGGTGGCCGCCTAACCTGCCAGGCTCCTGCTCCCCGAGAGAGGCCACGCCGCGCGCCGGCAGAGGGCGGCAGAATCCGCAGAGCTGCGCAGGGACGACCAGGCTGCCCGCAGGCCCAGCCCGCACGGCTGTCCAGCCCCGGCCCGGCCACTCGGGATCTCTACGTTAGCTCGCTCCGCCCCCCACCTGCTGCACCACTCCCCTGCCCCGCCCCGGCCACGCCCAGCAGCGGCCTTGCCCCGCCCCTATGGCCACGTCCATCAGCTCTGCCCCGCCCCCACCGCACCTGCCTAGCCCTGGCAGGCCAGGCTTGCGCAGAACGGGTGATGCCAGGGAAGGCTGCCCCTATTCCTAGCAGGAACTCCCGGCACCTGCAGGACAAAAATCAGAGGCTACCTTAGGCATGCTGCTCAACAGTGTTTTCTTAGAATTCTAGAATGTTCCTGCTTCACATAGCAGTCTGCAAGATAAAGGCAAGGGCTCCTTCTGGGTAAAAGATCAATTCAGAAATGGAGATTGCAGACATGCCCTCCAAAAATGCCAGCTCATGTTTTCTCGCCTTGCCACTTTTTAGAAGGAAAATGTTAGAGACTTTTTTACTGTTGCATTATTTCAGAAAACAGGGATTATTTGGTCAGTAGCAGTAAACTACCACATTGGGGGCAGGGAAGCCTCATTCCTTTTAGTCTTATTTGGACTGCTTCTCAATTGGATGTTGGATGATGATGTTAGAGGGAAACGTCATCAAAGCAGGGCTGTCCACTGAATGTGCCTCCTGGGGCCCGCAGTGCCTCCTGGGACCCTCCCCGGAGGCAGAGGAGGCGCGGGGGTGTGCCTGGGCCGGAATGCTGGCGCTGCTGCTTGCCAGCTGTGGGACTTTAGATGCATTATTACCTAAACCTCTACTTCATTCTCTTCAGCTGAGAAGAGGGGGCTTATTATGGAACACATAGTTCACTTCAAAATACATGAAATCAAATATGGCATCTGGCACTGTGAGCAAGCAAGACAGTGCCAAAAATATTAACTTATTTCCCGTGAATGAAACAGTCACCAACTGTTCCATGAGGTTTCATAAGTTTTGTTAAGTGTGACCTACAACAATATCCCACTCCCTACATTTTTTAGGTTTTATTTATGTGCAATACTACCTGAGAGAAGAGGCTGTCTTTCTGTTCTCAAAGTCACACACAACCCTGCTACTGAGACGGAGGTAGTCCCACACTTTGGGGCGGGTGGGGACGGCACTAAATGGAAGTGTTTGCAGAAAGCCCAAACTTGTGTGTGAAATGATTTGAGCAATCAAGAAGTTTCTAAAAAGCCTGTAATTAGACCACAAGAAAAACACTTGAGCTAACAGCTTGTGCACATACATTTACTGCTCAGGCTTCAGTGAAACCATCTTAAGTGACAGGCATTAAATACGGGGACACAACCCAACAATTGCACAATAGCTACAGAATTTAACTTTTAGGCAATATCACTGTGTTGTAGGGTCTGGCAGGTTTTAAGCTCATCCACAGCTTCTGTAGACTTAAGCTTTTCAGAGTCAAACATTGGTGTTTTTCAAAAGGCACATGGAGGTTCGTCCAGTGAAGATACAACTTCAGAGCCCGAGACCGGAACCTCGGTAGCAAGTGACTGCCCTGGTGTCTCGATGTGCCCTTCCACCGCGGAACACCTGGGAGCTGGACCTCTCGCACCTGAATACTTGGGACATTCTGGGCTGGGCTCTTGCCCAGCGCCCAGGCCCTCGGGCTGCTGACCTAACTGGACGGTTTGCTGAGCAGCAGGAAATGCAACCAGGCTTCTCGCACTCCGGTGCGTCAGTGTAGTCCCCACTGCCAGTGGCCAAAGTGTCCACTTCACTCGCAGCATTTCCAATCACAGTGCACTCTCAGGTCAGCAGGTAGCCAAGGAAAGCAACCTGTTCATAGAATTTTAAAAACACAGGAGTCGCAATCATGAAAAAGAACGACAAATCGGTTAAAAGGCAAAACTCATCCTTAAAATCCTGAGTTGACAAATGTCAACATTTCCAAATTTCCAGTAGCCACATCACAAAGTGGACCCCCCCGTTTCAGCTACAGACCAACCTCACAGTTGGGGGACTGTGTCCTTCTTGGCTGGGTTTGTATGACGGCACCAGCGCATCCTCACGAGACACCGCGCAGCACCAGAGGAGACCCCAGGCCCTTGCTGCGGTGCGCTGCAGGGGCAGTGGCCTTGAGTCCCTGGATGCAGAAAAGCGTTTAACACTTTGAGGCTGGGAAACTAGTCCAGCGAAGGCTAAAAACGCTCCGATCTGAAGGCACAGGGAGTGATGTGGGCAGGAGAGAGAGAACAGGGCATTCACCAGCACGGTGAGACAAAGCCCTGGCTCTGTGAAGTCTCCGGCTGCTGCTGAAGGCACCTGCCACTTCCGCTTGCTAATGACTTCTGACAGATGGCAGCTGGAACCTTCTGACGAAAAGACTCAAGTTGATCATCAATCGCCAAAGCCCCGTGGCCTGACGTTGCCTGAACACGATGCAGTTAAGGCAGAATTTCTTGAAATGTTTAGGTAGGTTCAACCTAAACAAAGGCCTGACGCCACGGCCTGCCGGTCAGCAGGTGCAAGAAGAGCAGGAAGCGGTGAGCAGAGGTTGCTGGTTTGAGAGTCGGAGGCGTCTTCCCTCTGGCTGCTGCTGTGGGGCTCGGCTTGCCCCCGGCCCTGGACTCCCCGGGACTGTGCCCGGCGGGGGCAGGCCTGAGTCCTGCCACGAGTAGTGTCTGGTCGCAGTTCCCAGACTCCGCAGACAGGAGGGCCCAGCAGTCCCACCGGGCAGGGGGCCTCTACGGCCACTGCGGTCGCACTGCACATTGTTTACAAGAGCGATCGTCTGGGCCAGTAAACGCACACTGCTCCTGGGGAGGCCCCGGGGAAGGGCGGCAGCACCGCCATTAATGAGAACCGTCTGACAGGCTGCTGTAAAGACACGCCCAGCACGTGCAGAGGCCAGCGCCATCCGGCCGGCAGGCGGCAGGCTTCCCCGCCCTGCCCGGGCACCCTCCACCGCCCCCCACCCCATCAGCACAGCCGCTGGCCTCCTGCCCCCACTTACAGCTCGCGGCCTTCACTGAGGCTACACTCAGGTTACACTTTAGACGGAGCGGCACAGATATTTCAAGTAGAAGACAGGACGGCCCCCGCCAGGGAGCCTGCCCTGGAAAGTGCGGTCAGGCTAGTCAGGCTTGGGCGTGGGCAGGGCGACCGGGAGAGCTGGGCTGGCTGGCAGGCGACTGCCCAGGCGAGGCTGGCCAGGGGCCGTCGGAGCCCGGCCGCGAGGGCTCAGATGAAGTGGATCCAGCTCTCCTCGCACTCTCCGCGGGGCATGCGCAGCGCGTGGTCGCGGCAGGTGAGGCTGTAGTCGCGGCCGTCGTGGTTGTCCCAGTACTCGGCGCCGGCCACCCGGTAGCGCAGCGCGAAGTGCACGCGCGAGCCGAGCGCCAGCAGGAAGGGCGGCACCGGGAAGCCGAAGGCGAAGACGTCCTCCGTGCCGTCCGCGCTCGCCGGCCCGCGCCAGCGTGCCACCGCCTCGTGCTCGCTGCGCCAGCCGGAGAAGGTGTAGCGCACGGCCACCTGCTTCTCGAAGGCCACGTTGCGCACGCGCACAGAGCCGCTGATGCCCAGGTCGGAGCAGGTGACGCGCTCCAGGCACACGAGCTGCCGCCGCAGGCGCTCGGCGAAGTCGGCGGCCTCGATGGGCGGCGGGAAGTCGGGCACCAGGCACTGCAGGGTGAATTCCACGTCCTGGCGGCTGCAGCACAGGTCCGAGTTGATGGCGAGGCGCGACAGCACGTGCAGCGGCACAGACGGGTCGTCCCCCGCGTTGAACACCTTGACCTGCGCCAGCTCCAGGCCCAGCGCGTCGGCGAAGCGCACGCGGAGCTGCCGGCTGCACCCTGGGCGGCAGGCAGTGCCAGGCGCGCCGGTGGCCTTCTGGCG